TAAATTTTGGCATTCTGAAAATTTAGCCACTGCTTCTTCAACTACAAATGAGGGCCTACTGGTCCCGTGGGGGGGAAGGGGGGGATGGGAAAGAACCCCTGTTTGTGGTCCCATTTTGCAGTGGAAAAAGAGCAACTAACTCTTGAGATTTTTATCTCAGTATAAAAAGTAACTGTCCTCCAAACTTAGAGCCTTTTGCCATCAAGTTGAAATGCTACCTAATTATTCTTAAGTGGGCAGAAAACTATGCCAATATTAATTTGTTGCTCTGGTGCTGATCCCAATACTGCTTCTATTCACTGCAGTCACCTTATTTCTTTCCAGAGTACTGGTTTTATACACCTTAAGGCTTGGAACAAGGGGGAAACTACTATTTTATCTATAGTTGAGGGCTATTTAAGTTTACCTTACTTATGAGATGAAAACAACATTGTAGACATACAGCATAAAAAAAAGTTGCCAAGGTATATTTGTGCTGTAGGTAGGTACAAGTTAGAACATGCCCAGCATCTGTATCCAAAGTAAAGGTGATTTCTTGTGTCACTGTTTTCTTTCTGTTTCAAGGGTATCTTTACTATACTGTATTCTTCCAGGAGAAATTAATTACTAAGCATCAAATTCATTATATTCACCCCAGCAGATTTAGCTACCAATACTTTGCTGCTATGGACTAAAGAGAGGTTTCAAGTGAAACAAGAAAATGTTATTTTAAAATCCTGTTGTTTGGCTTGCCTGAGCAGCAATCTCATATATAGAATAAAATGAGTTAAAGTTATTTCATCACCTACAGGAAGGAGGATCAATGAATAGGAAAGAGAAGCTACAAAGAAAATTAAGAGATGCCTTTTGCAAAAGGCCATGGAACAATTTAGGAGAATAATTCTTCTCTGGCTAGTTAGGAAATACCACTTTCTAAATCCTATTTCATCTGAATTCCAAACCTCAAGCTAAGACTTCTTTTTGATTTTTTCCACAGACTTAACACTACTGGATTTGCTTTGCTAGAATATGTGCAGCCCACAATACAGATAAGCTTCAACAGATCCCGTGTACCAAAGCACCGATTCTTATTTTGTTCCCATTCCCTCTGCCTCTGATAAGATTTAGAAGCTTGTTTGTTTTTTGTTATATTTACACTATCTTAATTTATAATTTTAATTTGAGGGTATTAGAATAGGCAGATCTGCTATATATTGTCATTACTATACCTGATAATCTAGTCTTTCTCTTTCTAAAGTGTGCTATATGAAAGCTTGGCGAGCTGTGAAGTCTATATTTATGATCTAATCTGGTGAAGACCATGGTGAACAGAAGATTGTGATTTGGAATATAAAAGGAATAAACAGGATCATGAATAAAATGGATCATGAATTAATGAAATACAATAGATATCTGTTGTGTTTATGAAACCAAGAGAAAGGGGAAGGAGAGAATAGTTCTGAATGCAAATATTCTTATCTTATGGCCTGAAGTAAATGAACACATGCAACAAACTAAAAAAGTAAGTTTAATTATGTATAAAAGGCCTAATATCTAAGTTTCAAAAGTGTATCATCTGAATGTAATGAATATATATGAAAATAAAAATCTCTAAATTGGAGACACATGCATGATAAACTCTGGTTATGGGGGTGATTAAAAAAACAAGAATGAATGTGGGGAGAAATGCAACATTTTGAATGAATCTGAGGAAAAAGAAAAAAAATTATGTGACATAAATGGATGGGTGAGAATGAGATGAAACAGTATACCAAAAGTGATTATCCATTCACAAGTACAACTAAAAAAATGAGAATGATATCTACTAGGTATCTACTCAGAAAAGCTGTTATTGTTTCATGGGGTTAAGCTTAACACTACCGAAAAACAGAATCTGAAAAGATGACTACTTTGATTGTTTTTAACAAAAAATGGAGAGAAACAGTGAAAGATACAAGGATAATTGAAGATTCTGAATGTAGGACAATCATTTTTAGTGGTGTCTAAAATGGATCATAGGAAAAAATTGTCATGGAATAAAAAGGCAGAAATAACCTAGAGGGGATGTAGAATGATTCCAAGAAAAGAAAGTACAAGCCATTTATGACAAAATATTAAAAGATAGATAGTCTCATACCAAAATGAATGAAAAGTTGATATGAGGAAAGATAATATTGAATCTTCTTGGAAGTAGTTACTTGAAATTACATTGCAAAATATAACAAAAATGCATCAAATTATGAAAATGATAAATGTGAAAAAGACACTTGATAGAATTATTGAAAAAGAGTGTATGAGAAAAATGCAAATTAAAGTGTGATTATTACAAAAGAGATTTATTTAATATTGTATTTGAAGAAAAGGGTAGATGAAAGAATGTAATCAAACAGAGGAAGGTACAATAAAAAGAAACAGAAAATGCAGAGCAGTTTTGATTAAGATATTTTTAAATGCTATGGAAGTGGGTGGAGAGGACTGGATCAGGAGCTTCCAAGAAAAAAAAAGTATTAGAAAATATACATTATGAAACTATTTAGGATAAAATGAAGGAATGCTAAAGAAGCATTTTAGAAATTTATATAAGAATGATGGTGATATGTCAACAAGCAAAACTGAAATGAATTCTATAAATGGGAGTGTGCCAGAAGAACTGAATGAAAGGAAAGTCAAGCATACTGGCTTAAACTATGGGAGACTGTATTTGTAGAATGATTTGTACATTAATTCCCCCATCATCTGGCGAATAATTTCATGGAGGTGCTTAGGAAGGTATCTGACAGAATTCTGATTGAAAGAGTGTAAGAAAGGCCAATGATAAGAAGTGCAATGCTGCTATTGGAGTTTATGCTAAACAGAGTATGTGCAGGTTACATTTTTGTTTTTTAGCAGATCGCTGAGAGACATATGAATGTGAGAAAGTTCATTCCATGTTTATTGATACAGAAAAAACGTGACATAGTAAACAGGTTTGAATTACAGAAAGTTTTACGGCAAAAAAGGCAAAAATTACACTAAAGTGAAGCATGCAGAAGGATTACCAAATGATTCAAAACAAGCAACGAGTAAGAACCACATGCCACCTTGGTTATTTAATATACTCATTTATGAAAGCATAAGGAATACTTGTAGTTATATATGCAAATTTCACAAAAATGGCAAAAAATATTTGTTGTTAGAATGTTTACTAAAGATAGAAAAGTCTTAATTTGGGCAAAAGCCAGTAAAAAACAGTGGGTTAGTCTGCAGTTAGTTTGACAAGGAAAAACACCTGTGTTTGAGAGTACATTTCTGCCCACTTTGTTTATATAGAAATGAGAGTAAAATAAGACACATAAAAGTAGATGATGTACAATGGAAAGGGATTAGATAAGAAATATATATGGTAATATACACTGCTCAAAAAAATAAAGGGAACACTTAAACAATACAATGTAACTCCAAGTCAATCACATTTCTGTGAAATCAAACTGTCCACTTAGCAACACTGATTGACAATCAATTTCACATGCTGTTGTGCAAATGGAATAGACAACAGGTGGAAAGCATAGGCAGGTAGCAAGACATACCCAATAAAGGAGTGGTTCTGCAGGTGGTGATCACAGACCACCTCTCAGTTCCTATGCTTTCTGGCTGATGGTTTGGTCACTTTTGAATGCTGGCGGTGCTTTCACTCTAGTGGTAGCATGAGACGGAGTCTACAACCCACACCAGTGGCTCAGGTAGTGCAGCTCATCCAGGAATGGCACATCAATGCGAGCTGTGGCAATAAGGTTTGCTGTGTCTGTCAGCGTAGTGTCCAGAGCATGAAGGCACTACCAAGAGACAGGCCAGTACATCAGGAGATGTGGAGGAGGCTGTAGGAGGGCAACAACCCAGCATCAGGACTGCTACCTCCGCTTTTGTGCAAGGACAGGAGGAGCACTGCCAGAGCCCTGCAAAATGACTTCCAGTGGGCCACAAGTGTGCATGTGGCTGCTCAAACTGTCAGAAACAGACTCCATGGGGGTGGTATGAGGGCCCGACGTCCACAGGTGGAGGTTGTGCTTACAGCCCAGCACCGTGCAGGACGTTTGGCATTTGCCAGAGAACACCAAGATTGGCAAATTTGCCACTAGCGCCCTGTGCTCTTCACAGATGAAAGCAGGTTCACACTGAGCATATGTGACAGACGTGACAGGGTATGGAGACGCCATGGAGAACGTTCTGCTGCCTGCAACATCCTCCAGCACAACTGGTTTGGCAGTGGGTCAGTAATGGTGTGGGGTGGCATTTCTTTAGGGGGTCGCACAGCCCCCCATGTGCTCGCCAGAGATAGCCTGACTGCCATTAGGTACCGAGATGAGATCCTCAGACCCCTTGTGAGACCATATGCTGGTGTGGTTGGCCCTGGGTTCCTCCTAATGCACGACAATGCTCGACCTCATGTGGCTGGAGTGTGTCAGCAGTTCCTGCAAGACGAAGGCATTGATGCTATGGACTGGCCCGCCTGTTCCCCAGACCTGAATCCAATTGAGCACATCTGGGACATCATGTCTCGCTCTATCCACCAACGCCACGTTGCAGCACAGACTGTCCAGGAGTTGGGGGATGCTTTAGTCTGGGTGTGGGAGGAGATCCCTCAGGAGACCATCCACCCTCACCAGGAGCATGCCCAGGCGTTGTAGGGAGGTCATATAGGCACGTGGAGGCCACACACACCACTGAGCCTCATTTTGAGTTGTTTTAAGGACATTACATCAAAGTTGGATCAGCCTGTAGTGTTTTTTTCCACTTTAATTTTGAGTGTAACTCCAAATCCAGACCTCCATGGGTTGCTAAATTTGATTTCCATTGATAATTTTTGTGTGAGTTTGTTGTCAGCACATTCAAATATGTAATGAACAAAGTATTTAATAAGAATATTTCATTTATTCAGATCTAGGATGTCTTATTTTTGTGTTCCCTTTATTTTTTTGAGCAGTATAGGAAGAGGTTAGGAAAGAATGAGAAGTAAATAGACCAAATTGAAAAGTGAGTGGCCATTATGAAAATATATTGAGGTGGTTTAGTCCTCCAGAGAATGAAAGAAATTGCAAACAAATCTAGGAAGGAAGAATCCTTGGACTGAAAGGAAGGGGAGGAAGCAAAAAAAAAAAAAAATCATAGCAGAATAGAGTTGATGAGACCCTGAAAACAATGTTTAATGTTTAAAGAACAAAATTAGTATGTATGCATTAGTATATGGAAAAATATGGATACAGTGAATTTAGTCCAAACCAGGAAAAAATCTAAATGTAGCTCTTCTTACATGCACATATGGAATCAGAAGAAGCAACTTACAAAACATCTATCAGCCTAAGCAAAGATTTGGCTGCTTTTACAGTTCAAGTACCTCTTTCAAAGGATTCGAACAGTCGCAGTTTACTGTGAATGTATTCCCTGTGCAATCTTGCTTTTAATGTTACACAAGTTAATTGGGCAATTCAGTACAGATTCCAATAACAATGCTCACCAACTTGTGAAATTTCCTATTGTTAAAGGAAGGAACTGATCCTATCTTTTTGGTAACTTTTGGTAAGCCCATGGCCAGAGATTTTTTTGTTAGCAAAGCTGCAGCTCCTCCTCTGAATTACCAGCAGGTGGTGGCAACTTGTCACAAATGAAGCTGACGGGTGGCATTGTGAGTCTTTAAAAGCTGAAGGTGTTCACATATCATTCTCTCAAGGGACAGAAGATTCCCTCTCCTCTCTTATTCATGGATAGATAGAGAAAAAGTTATAGCTAACTACCTCTCATTTCAAATCCCCCAAACTTCTAATCAGGGCTGCATATTTTTTTACAGTGAACATATCTCCCTGCCAGGCAAAGCTTTCCTTCCAAAGCTCTTTGCTGCAGTTAAGAGGAAATTGAATTAAACTGTGAGAATAGAATTTAATTTCCAGGCTGTTTGATTTGATCACGCTCCCTACTCCCTGATTCATCTGGGAGTTTCTCCCAGAACATATAAAGGTTGCACAGAACAAAAACCTGATACAGCTCTTAAGGGAAGAGTAGATTATTAACACAGACCCAGAAAGACTTGGCTTCCCACCGCTAACGTGGTGTTTTCAACACATGAAAAATGAGTCACTGGCTTTAAGTCCTTTTCAAAGAATGTATGATAAAAACTGAGAAGAGATAAAGCAAAAAGAGACATGGGTAATGAAAAGCACAATGAAGAAAGTGCCTCCAGGAGCAAGTTCAGAAGATGTCAGATAGTCACTTCTTCCAACAGATGCTTGTAGAGCAAACATTCACTGAAATATCTTTTTTTTTTTTTTGTCTTTTAATGACCTCATAATCCCTTGCATTGGGGTAGAGTGGGGTAACTGAATGGAGCTGAGTGTTTACTGGCCAGGTGCCCTTCCTGTCACCAATGCAGAGTTTGCAGCTGATATTTACTCATTGTTCCCAGAGAGAGAAATACCTGCCGCTACCTAGGATCGAACTTATAGTCTGCATGATTATGAGGCGAGAGCTCCACCTCTAGGCCACTGCACCACTCATTCACTGAAAGATCATCTACTGTAGCAAATCTCTTTGGTAGTGCCGGACAGTTCTCGAGGAATTCTTACATGTCTTACTCTCTGCACACGTGATCTTTCTTTCTCCCCCTTCTCCAACCTGCTATTTTTCATACACATACATACTCACACATTGCTCTTCATATATAAATATGTGTGGGTGTATGCTTATTTCACTTCATCTTCTCAACAACTTTTGAGATAGGATAGCTTGAGAGTTGATACGATGTGGCCCACAGAGCAGCTCAAGCCAAGTCCTCCAATAAGAATTGATTGAACCTGTTTGTGATAGTCTAGTGTGGGAACAAAAGACAACTGCTTTGACCAACTGTCTAGCAAGTTTTGCCATTTTATAAGTCTTCTTCCTTTTATTATTGTCCCTGTTGCATTCTGAAAATACAATGAAGCAAGTGTCCAGAAAGGAATCAAAGTATGTGTTCATAGAAAGGCATCAGAGTATGTCCAAATGGAAATTGGAAATTAGAGACCGTGGTGTGATTAAATGTGTTTGCACTATACTATTTCAGCCTTCCTCACTCGTGCTCTTTTGAATTAAAAAGGGCACCACCTTTCAGAAATGTGCATTAAGAGACGGATTAGTACATTACAGATAAGTTTACACATTTCTACAGCTTGCTTCACGATTCCTAGCCTCTCAGAGATACTCTTATGCCAGATGCACACAGCTACTACTATCTTCTCTTATCTGTCTCTCCATTTTATTCAATGAGATATATTCTCCAAAAAGCAAGGTGTCAATCAGGATGCATCATATCAAATTTAACCATTACCAGAAGAGTTAAGGGAGCACTATTATTAAAAGCTGCTTTCAGACAGCTCCTTCATTTCCAGCAGAATAGCTACCTCCCCAAAGCCAAAAAAACTACAACCTTTTTTCCCCCATTGCCCAAATTCTCTGGCAGGTATCATATTCACTTTTACCTTGAAATCTTCTTAAGTAATTCTTTTAAATAAGGTAACAAGCAATATGTGCTTGTCTGGATCAGGCCAGCCAGGTTCCATCCTTGCTGTTGATCTGAATTCAAATAAAGCTCCTTCTGTACAGGCCAATTAAAAAATATGCATGGCAGCTACACATACCTATCCCAAACTGATTTTTTTCTATTTCCCTATGTTAAATATTTTGGTTTGCTGAAATGCAAATATTTTCAGGCTAAATATAGACAGAAAATAAGACCTAAACACCGCTAAATGTAAGTAACAAAAAGACAGGTATGACAAACTAGCACATGAACTTAGGTAAAATCAGTGTATATATAGGATGAGGGTTTAAACATTTAATACAATTAAATCTATTTAAATTGCAACATTAATTTAGCCTTTCTCCGTAGAAATTAAATAAATGGTACAATCAACTTTTTCCCTGCTGTTACCCAACCCATTCATTGCTAAGAAAACTGTACATTTCTATATAAAATTTCTGTCAATTTTACGAACAGTTACATGGGCAGTCCAAAGATGACAGCTGGGCCAGTTATATCATATTAATTATATTTTCTCATGAAGAAAACATAATGAAACCCCATGTAAAGACTTAAGTGCCCCAAAAGGAGGCACAGATAAAGCAACTTATGCATTGGCATTTCTAGATACCCAGCATTCACCAACTTAAATTCTGCAGCCTTAATGTAAAAGAAACGTGGATAAGGGACAAGCTAAAAGGAGGTTATGGGACCTGAAATACATCCCATAAAGTGTGAAAAACTATAAGGGGAAAGAGAGAGGGTCAAAGAGCCATTCTTGAAGGATTTGGTTCTTGAAGAACACCCTTTGATGGCCTTGAATTTATGAAAGTAATTTACTCCCCAGCCCAGAAAATTCTGATCTCGTGTTGCATAGGTAAACATCAAAGCCAGACTACCCCCCCCAAAAAAGGAATAACAGAAAAGCCAATTTCTAGCTCAGAACACTTACCCTGTTAGGTGTGTAAGTAGAATAGTAACAGTGCAATAAATCTTGGGTATCTTCTCCTTTTAGATCACCACAAATCACAACCTGTTCAAAGTATAAAAGTAGTACACTTTTTGAGTCCTTTCTAACGAGTAAGTAACTCAGTAAGAAAACTGTCCAGCAGAGACTTACTGATTGGACTTACTGATAAACTTGGGCTTAGAAGGAGAAATATTTGCTCTCCCTGGATGCACTGAACAGGACATTCACGGTGTGTAACATAAGAGCGCTAGATAGAATTCACTGACATTTTCTTTTATTGGGAAGAGTCATATTTATTAGGTGTAGTTTTTTTCCCTCCTGCTCTTTCTTTTTAGTCTCCCTCCAAAACTTAGAAATTAGAAATACTCTAATTTTTTTAGCTCTTCTTACGGCTTATGAGGTTTCTGCTCCAGTTTGACCTACTTTTTAAAATTAAGGCTATTCAAAATGTACCACAAATCCTGGAGTTCAGAAGAGGAATAGAAGTTAAGCTTTGCCAAAAAATGACCTTGGCTTTTAGACTGGCAATGATAACAGAGAACATCATACAAATTGTCACAATTCATAACCATAAAGAAAGGGAGAAAAGTAAACAAGTAAAAAAATGATATCAATCACCAAATAGTAACTGCAAAGAAACTAAGCTGTAATAACAAACTATTTACTGAAGTTCTTCTAACACAATGCAAAAAGAACTTGAAATCTTGTGCAGATTGGCCTTGTTTCACCCTGTACCAGTTAATGAAGGCTCAGAGCAGGAGTCAAGACAACTATTGTGGAAGTTGTCCAAGGACAGAGAGATCTCACTATTGGTAAGGAAAATACAGAGCAGACTCAAGAAATAAAGGACAGAACTTCAATAATTCTACTTGTGAAAATCTCAAAGCTTCCCTCTAGTCCCCAACTTACAACCATTCATTTTACAATGGTTCAAAGATATGACAGTCTCAGAAAAAGTAATATACAACCCAGCCTTGACATTATGATCATCACACTGTCCCTGCAGCCACGCAATTGGGTACTTATCAGCCAGCTTGCATTTATGATCCTTGCAGCACGTTATGCTCACATGATTGTGATTTGGGTCATTCCCAGCTGGCTTCCAACAAGGAAAATCAATTGGGAAAGATTTACTTAACAACTGTGTGAATCATTCAACAATCATGGGATTCACAGTAAAAAATGGTCATTAAATTAGGTCAGGTTATATGATGACTTGCTTAACAACCACATCTTTTTGCAACCAAAATTCTGATCTCATTTGTGGTTATAAGTTGAGGACTACCTGTGTTTTTATAGATTTAATTGAAATAGATATGGAAATGGGAACTTACTATAAGAATATTAATTGATATTTAACAAAGTGATGAATAAAGTTAAAATGAATTATGAGAACTGCAATGGGAAGACTATTATCAGCTCCCAAAATTAAGCGATCAGATTAATACCTTTGAAATAAATAGATGATTCAGAACGTAACTGAGAAAAGAGAATACCATGCAGAATCTGACTATATATATAT